GACGTGACATCTTTAATTAAAGATTAATCTTTAATTCCTGGAAACTCCAGGCCCATCCTGGGGAGTTGGCAACCATACTAATAGCCATTGATGGACCGATCTTCCCTGAACTTATCTAATTCTTTTTTTAATGCAGTTATATTTTTGGCCTGGTAATAAGTTTCACAGTTTGATTCTGTGTTGTGTGAAGAACTTCCTTTTGTTTGTTTTAAACCTGCTGCCTTTTAATTTCATTGGGTGAACCTGGTTCTTTGAATATGAGAAGGACTAAATAACACTTCCTTATTCACTGCCTCCACACCATTCATGATTTTATAGACGTGTATGATATCTTCCCCCCGCCCCCCTTAGTTGTCTCTTCTGTAAGATGTGCAGTCCCAATCTTCTTCTTCTCTCTTCATGTGGAAGTTGTTCCATAATCCTAATAATCTTTGTTGCCCTTCTCTGTACTTTTTCCAATTCTAATATATCTTTGTTGAGATGGGGCATCCAGAACTGCATGCAGGTGTGAGTGTATAATGGATTCATATAGTGGCATAATGATATTTTCTGCCTTATTATATATCCCTTTCCTAATGGTTCCTAACGTTTGTTAGTTTTTTTTGACTGCTGCTGCACATTGAGCAGATTTTTTTTCAGAGAACTATCCAGGATGACTCCAAGGTCTCTTTCTTGGGTGGCAGTAGCTAATTTAGACCCCTCCCCTGTATTTGTCTTGTATATTTAGATTGTAAGCTTTTGGGGCAAGGACTGTCTCTTATTATGTGTTTGTAAAGTGGAGTCACAATCTCTCTTGGAGCCTTTTAATGCTGCCATAATACAAATAATAATAAACATCACCATCCCATAGAGCTGATGCCTTTTTTCCACCTTTTGTCCTCTGGCCCCTGTGAAAATTCAGGGTTTGGACCCAGAGAATCTGCTTACTTCATAAGTACAACATCCACTACACTCACCCTGAACCTGAACGTCTACACTGCAATTTTTACCCCATAGCTCGAGCCTCACAAGCCCGAATCAACTGACCAGAGCCAGCTGCGGCCATGCCGCGGGTTTTTTATTGCAGTGTAGACGTTCCATTAGGAACATTCTTAAGTCTTTTAGACAATGCTCAGGAGGAAGCAGCCTCCTCTTTCATTTATTCCACCTCCATTATTTACACTATTTAGAGGAAGAGATCACATTAGTGACATATTTAAAAGGTGCTGAAGTCTCTCTAGCTAAATCAAAGAAGAGCATTTTAAAGGGTCTCTAGAGATCTCTTGAAAAGATGGAGGCAAATAGGGAAACAATGTCCATTTGCCTAGCTATTGTGAACAGGTTATTGTCCTGCTAGTAGGATCATGACACAGTTTTCAGTTACTGTAGATTTCTCCCAGTTGTGTGTTAGGAAAAGTAAGAATTGTTCCTAATGTGGAATCTGCTATTACTGCCTGCTTCCAGAAATCATGTGTTTCTGTAGGGGGCCGTTGCCATTTATGGTCAGGAAGGAGCCGTGAAAGGAACTTATTCCACCATCTGGCAGTTGTAATGGGTGTACAACAGATTATATAAAACACAGGCTCAGCCTCATGCTTTCCTCATAGATTCCCCATCCCCCCCATTTTTTTTTTTTTAAAACACTCTCATGGGTAGATTAGAAGCTGACACAGCTTAATGGTTACGATGATGAGCTCATTTCAGTAGAAATGGGCTTAGTTCCATGGTAGCAGACATTAATTCATACCCTGGTCATGCTGATAAACTAGTTCTTGCAGGCAGCTTCTCTGTGCTCCTTTCTTTAGGATAAAATGCTGATTTGAAAATTCAGGTGGTGGATTGGTATAGTTTGTTTTCTGTGTGTTTCAGGTTTTTGCAAGTGCTAGACCTAAAAAAACTGTCTAAAACCAAAAATGTGGTCATCTGAAAGACATGGATTTGTTTTTCCTCATACTTTTGTATATTTTTAACAGCATTAGTCTTGGGCCTCTAACCCTAAGTCTGCCAGGTGTCGTACCTGCTCACAGGAAATGGAGTCTTGAATTTTGGAGTGGAAAATGTTCATGTTTTAAAGTGATTCCAAGAAGTGTGGGGGCTGGGGAGCATTTTTGTTTATACTTATCCTGTAGTTTGTATCACATCCTTAAACATCTTTCTGTGTGTAAAATATTTTAACCATTATGGGAGTGTGTATATATTTTATTTTAATTTAATGTATTTCATGTAAAAACTAGTATTAAGACAAGGTTATGGCCTTGAAGTCCAAGGTCTGAAAAGTCAGTAAACGCAGCTGTAAGGTTGAAAACTCAGCATCAACTCTTATTCCTTAAAATATGTGTCTTTGTGTTATGTCTTAAAATATGGCCTCTCTGTATGACCTTAATTAGATAATACACAAATTGGAACTTCATATGAATGTAAATACACTAAATTACAATACATAGTTTTCATATTTGACCTGAAGACTGGTCTTAATCAGATGTACAAGGCAACCACATTTGAGTAAAATCAGTTTGGGAAATTAAATATAAATGTTTAAAATTAGACAATCCAGAGTCTGAGATAATGAGCTTTTGAAATAGCTCAGTAGTTTGAAAGGACACAAATTTTGAGCCAGCCTAATGTTCCAAAGCTTTTCTAGTTTGGAAACTAAATATAAATTTAATCTATTATTAAACATCCATAACCTTTTTAAAACCACCAGACCAGTTTTCGGCAAGCTTTATTTGTACCTTAGCTCCCATTGACATCTACACTCTGAGTGAAGAAAAACAATCTGAACATGATTGTAATCAGCTCATTCTTGTCTTTTTGCTTCTGGTTTAAGAAAACTTGGGAGACTATGTACACTATATGGCACTGTTCCTACGAATTTTAAAATCAATTTGCAATGAAAACTTCAAATTATTTTTAAACAATGTTTCTAGAATAGTGCCCATAAATGTAGATCTGGGATAACTGCATCATTATTTTGTTTCAGTTCCAGTTGATTTTAGTTTTGATTTGGAACAAAAATTGTAGCACTATGTAATTGTCGTTCCCTGATGATTTTTACCTTGCTGTCTTCCTTTTCTGGCATCTGAGTGTAGGTTTTATGTGCTGTCATTTGAAAAATTCAAAAACTTTGAATCCCAAAGTTGGAAACCCTTCTGAGGTGTCATTATTTTGGATTTGTGTATGACAAGTGTAAGAGCACATTAGGGACCTATCACTCTAATTGATGAGACATCCATTCTCTACTCAATAAACATGGAGTTTCTTCTTCAAGATTTGATGGCACTGCATAAATTTAAAGGAGAGTAGGGAGCTACATTCCATAGATTTTCTTAAGTATTTATGATGCCATCAGCTTCTGCAGAAGAAAAACAGACCTCTAAATTCAGATCCTGGCAGGATAGTATGAGAAGAAATTTCAGAAACATTGTGTTTGAAATATTTATAACAATTTTTAAAATCTAGCAAATTATTCTGTTGTTGTTGTTTTTAAAATCTTATACAGCTTTTTGTATTATTTATTGTAAAATCAGTAGGGCTGCCAAGCGATTAAAAATTAATTGCGATTAATCACACAATTAAAAAACTAATCACAATTAGTCGCGTGATTAATTGTGCTGTTAAAAGATAATAGAATGCTGTTTGTTTAAATATTTTTGGATCTTTTCTACATTTTCAAATATATTGATTTCAGTTACAACGCTGAATACAAAGTGTACGTTGCTCACTTCATATTTTTTATTACAAATATTTGCACTGTAAAAAAACAAGAAATAGTATTTTTCAATTCACCTAATACAAGTACTGTAGTGCAATCTGTTTATCATAAAAGTTGAACTTATAAATGTAGAATTATGAAAAAAATAACTGCATTCAAAAATAAAACAACATAAAACTTTAGAGCCTACAAATTCACTCAGTCCTACTTCCTGTTCAGCCAATCGCTCAGGTATGTTTACATTAGCAGAAGATAATGCTGCCCGCTTCTTGTTTATAATGTCACCTGAAAGTAAGAACAGATGTTCGCATGGCACTGTTGTAGCTAGCGTCACAAGATACGATAAAGATTCATATGTCTCTTCATGCTTCGGCCACCATTCCATGCTGATGACGGGTTCTGCTCTATAACGACTCAATGCAGTGCGGAACGATGCATGTTCATTTTCACCACCAGCAGAAGGTTGATTTTCTTTTTTGGTGGTTCGGGTTCTGTAGTTTCTGCATTGGAGTGTTTGTTCTTTTAAGACTTCGGAAAGCATGTTCCACACCTTGTTCCTCTCAGATTTTGGAAGGCACTTCAGATCCTTAAACTTTGGGTCGAGTGCTGTAGCTGTCTTTAGAAATGTCACATCGGTACCTTCTTTGCATTTTGTCAAATCTGTAGTGAAAGTCGTCTTAAAATGAACAGCCTGTGCTAGGAGCTAGGTCATCATCCAATGCATTTAGAAATTTTTGTCAAAACCTTTTCCATTTTAAATGACACTAAAAAGAAAAAAAAAAGTGTTTTTTAAAAAAATCAGGTTCCGTTCTGACATTTATGAGGAAGGGTGAGCAGGGTGGTTCACCAGAGACTAATGGTGGGATGGGTGACACTGTGGCTAATTCATGCAATATGTTCCCAGCTAGATTTAGGCCTGGTCTACATTGAAAGTTAGGTTGACAGGGAGATGGGTTGACAGTGTAGACGCAGCTATGTCAAAGGAAGAATGCTTCTGTCAGTGTAGCTACTGTCACTCGTGAAGGTGGTGCTCCTGCACTGATGGAAAATCCCCTTCCATCAGTGTGGAGGACCACATGTAGACTATATAGTTATGCTGGCATAGCTATGATGACACAGTTGTGCTTGTATAGTCTGTGTAGTGTAGACATATCTTTGGTGTATATGTGGGTTTTGGGGGAGGGGGAGAGTACAGGTTAAAATAAAATTGACAAGAAATAGCCATCTGTTTTTAAATAAGAGAATTCACAGGCCTGTTTAAATCAAGTTTACATGTTTAGAAAAGTTAATTCTTGTTGTTTTTTTTCAGCCATGGAAGAATTAATAGTTGAATTGCGTCTGTTTCTTGAACTTTTGGACCATGAATATCTAACATCCACTGTCAGGGAGAAAAAAGCAGTAATAACTAACATTCTCCTGAGGATACAGTCATCAAAAGGTCAGTGTCAGAGACTTATTTTGTTTCTTGCAGAATGGGAAGAATTAGTTTATGCTCAAAGTTTTTCTCTTTTCCCCTGAAAGCCAAATTGAAACAAAGCAAAAAGACATACAACCAGGCAAAAAATAAATATAGGCTTCTGAGTGCTTTCCTTTGTTACCTTTTATTGTTAATTGTAACAAAGGGCTTGGAACTAATATTACATGTGTCTTCCACTACATGAATGTTAACACAATCTAGCCGCAAAGTAATTTATCGTACTGCAGATAATCTGCCAACCACAGTGTTTTTCTGATCTGTGAATTAAGCAGTTACTTTATTTAGATTGTGAATGCATTTGCAATTGGTGGTATTGACTGAAAAATAGCATTATATTATGGAGCATTGGCAGTTGCTCTGTATGCTAATTTTGTTTTCTCTCCAAACCCCTTCCTCCCTAACTTTCATAAAAAGAAGCCAGTCTCTGAGACTTCAGGGTATGTCTGCACAGAAAGAAAAGATCTGCAGCAGCAAGTCTCAGAGCCTGCATCAATTGACTTGGCCTTGTGGGGCTAAAAATAGCAGTGTAAATGCTCAGCCTGGAGTCTGGGCTCTGAGACCCTCCCCATTCACCAGGTTTCAACATCCGGGCCTGAATGCCTGCTGCCCCATGTACCCTCGCATGCCACACTCTCCCCAGGGAAATTTTGTTCTCTGGGAAGTTTTTTTGTGGGGGAGAGGAAGAGGAGAGAAGAATTTTTAGAGTTAGCGTTCTCCAATAATTTCCTCACTTTCGTGTCACCCTATTCTATTTAAAATACCCCATGACCTTAACTTTGCCCTTTGATATTTGTAAAAACTTATATTCATGAATCAAAGTAGTAAGTTGATGAGGAGCTTTTCAAAATTGTTGAATATAGTAAAAGTGTGACATACATTTCATTCCCCACTGTAAAGGAACCTACGTATGTCAGTTGTTGTACAATATAGGTAAAAACGCACTCTTTAATCACATGTGTAAGCTTTCAAAATATGTCATTCAACTATAGTCCCAATTGTTATACTTGCAAATGGAATAGAAGAAAAATAAAGCAACTGATCAAAAAGAGATAACAGACACATTTTAAGTGCTACCAAAAAATTTTTTTTTGCCATCTTCAGGATCTCTTTTACAACATACAATTTTGGAAAACCAAAAAATATCTGCAGATTGCTAAAATAAAAAAGTCAAATTTGACGTGAGATACCAGCAGTTGAAATTAGAAATGCTACAAAGGACTTTCCAAATGGCGGATGTCATGGGCTGGACACAGTCAGCATGAGGTGTATAAAGCTTTACAGAAGCTTCTGGTGCCTTGAATACTTCAAATGTTCAGTGACTCCCTTGAACAAAGAAAATAGCCTAATTCTTGTCTGGAAGCCAGTATAACCATACCCCTGAAAAAAGATAAAAATCCAGAAGACTGTAGTAGATCATACTGGCCAGTATAACTAACCAGTCTGGTTAGTTAGCAAAATGCTTAGGAAACCAAATACCTGGCTTCATTCCAGGGAAAGCCACAATTTATAATATTTAATAATATTTATTCATCATATTAAAGAAATGAATAAAAATGGCTTTCTAGCATTAGATGCAGAAAAGATGTTAGTTAAGATTCTTTGGGACTATCTTTTTGTAGTACTGGAGAACTACAGTTTAAAAAATGAAGTCTCCTTGGGGGAGAATAGTATATGTCTCCTGCTCTGTTCTACCTGCATTCTGCCATGTATTTCATATTATAGCAATCTTGGTGGTGGCAGCAATAAGGTCCAGGGACAAAAGGTAAAATAATTTGTACCTTGGGGAAGTTTTAACCTAAGCTGGTAAAAATAAGCATAGGGGGTTTTTCATGCAGGTCCCCTCATCTGTACCCTAGAGTTCAGAGTGGGGAAGGAACCTTGACACCTAGTCTCCCAAGCTGATTTTTTGGATAAACTATACTACATTCCTATGAAAAGAGTGTGACTGGGATTCAAATTTATTTTACTGAGTTGTTGTTCTTCCTTGATGACTGTCGGGCAGGAGTGACTGGTAGGAGCCTCAAGACACAGCTTTTACACTTAACCTCCCTTTCACTTCCAAGTTCTCTTCTGAGTTTTTTCCAGAGGCAGTTGCACTAATGAAACCCTGTTGTTTGTTAGACCTTTTGGAAACCATTGTTCCTCATAACAAAAATTGAGAGTTATGCAAAAAATATTTAGAGGACAGAACTTTTGTGTAACTCTGTTCAAATAGTTTTTGTTGACACTTTCTAGTCTAGTAAATGATGGCTGAGGGAAACCTCTACTCCACTGGTACATCCCCAGTTTCTATATCTTCCTTTTGTAAACAGCAGTTATTAGGTGTCTAGTGAATTGTTCAAACTCTGGCTATTTAGATCAGTGGCTCTCAACCTTTCCAGACTACTGTACCCCTTTCAGGAGTCTGATTTGTCTGGAATACCCCCAAGTTTCACTGCCCTTAAAAGCTGCTTGCTTACAAAATCAGACATAAAAATACAAAAGTGTCACGGCACACTATTACTGAAAAATTGCTTACTTTCTCATTTTTACCATATGATTATAAAATAAATTGATTAGAATATAAATATTGTAGTTACGCTTCAGTGTGTAGTATATAGAGTAGTGTAAACAAGTCGTATGAAATTTTAGTTTCTCTTGACTTCGTTAGTGCTTTTTATGTAGCATGTTGTAAAACTAGGCAAATGTCTACATGAGTTGATGTACCCCCGTTGAGAATCACTGATTTAGCTCCCTTAAATTCTGATTTTTTTCCCACTAATCTAGAACTATTTCCTGAATAGTTTTCTGTATCTGGTATTCAATAGACTGGATTGGCTTTCTCATATACAGTTAGGTGGGTGAGCATGAGTTTGTTTTGTTTTATTAGAAGCTTAAATTATAGCATCGATCCTATTAAGTTGTGTTTTAAGTCACTAAGACATTCATCGCTGTGGTTTTGGAAATCAATTATGATCCGGGGAACGGGAATGAGGCCAAGAGGGAAATTTGTGTCCTACACATCCACATTCTGGGAGCTTGTGTTGGTCTCTACCCTCTGCCATTTATGAAGGTGATGAATACAACCTCTGTTCTGTGTTGGTAGATTTTTGGATGCTAAAAACAAATGTTCAGGTAAAAATGTTTCAGAAGTTCTTTGAAATGGAGAACTAAGAGATTGTGTGAATAAGTAAATAGATATAGTGGAGCAGTGTCCCATCTTAATACTTTGGTTTACTGTCTTATGTGTCATGCATTTTTTTCCTGCAGGTTTTGAAATAAAAGAACATGTACAGAAACAAGAAGTTTCCAATAGTTTGCCTAGTTTGCCTGCCCCACCTCAGATGCCTCTACCAGAGATACCTCAGCAATGGCTGGTATGTGTTAATTTAACTGTACATTCAGCCCGTAGAAAATATTTCCTTACTATTATTGTGATAACCATTAACACAAATAATTAAAAGAAAGCTACTCTCATTTTCCTCAGGCTAGCTCAGCATGACGATACCTTTCTTTTTGCAATATATAATTAACAAAATAGAGGCCCAGAGTCTGAAAAATCAAACCGGCTTGCAGGGGAAGAAAGGACTTTAATGCTGTCCAATGTAGTTCGCTTTCTAGAACAGGAAATTCTCTGAAAGAGTAAAATTTTAAGTTTCTAGTGATGTTTATAGAAAATATGAGAGCTGGACTGAGATCTCCATTGAAAATCGTCCAGCTGGAAGCAGCTGTTTTGCTGAAAAGTAACCTAATTATAAACAAGTTTTAGTCATTGTTTATTATTGACTTGACAATAGCTTAGAAGAAAATAATGTAAGTAGGTTCCTAGCAGTGACTCTGCAAAGAATTGCTTTGGACTGTTTTGACAACAACTTTAGCCCTGATATTAGAGAGGATTAATTATTGATAAATTGTGCTGATTCTTACTTATTCCTGATCAACTTCCTAATGAAAGGTATTAGATGAGTCCCCACTAAGGAGATGTACTTTTTATAAAGTATCTATGTTTAGCTTGCAATGCAGAATTCAGTGTTCCCAAGGTGTGCGAGAGAGACTGGATGACCTTAGGATGTTTTTGTAATCTCTTTTCAAATTACCGGATTGACATTTTTGTTTTACTCATTTTATAAGGCAGTGATGTAATGCATCAGACCAGTGTGCCATTATTCTCCATTATTCATCTTGAGACGGTGGACAGTATTAAATGCTTCAGAGGAAGGTGCAGAAATCCCCATAGTGGACAGTTTTGGAATAACCTGATCATCGGAGTAGTTTCTTCCTAACCGCAATCAGTGTTTTGGCTTATGTCTTGAAACAAAATTTTAAAAAATCCTGTCTAGTATAACTGTGGATGTTCTTAAACCACAAATATTTATGCTAGTGATAGCCATATAACTAATTTATATATAAAATCTGGCAATACTCAGCAAAAATGTGTGCTAATATTCTTTGCAGGTAACTATATAGAATTATTATGCAATAAATTTGAGTGGATGCAAAAATGCACGTTAGTACGCACTGGAATCTGGAGAACCTATTCCATGGTTATAGTGTTTGATAATAAAACGTACAAGAAGCGCATAACATAAAATCCAGTGGAAATTATTGAGGAGATACAAGAAAATCACAAAAAAATATATGCACATACCTGCAGATTTTTGAAGATGTGCTTCAAGTGCTAATCCCGTAAAATCAAGCCAACTTAATTCTTTATTTTCCAGTACGCATGTAGGCTCCATTCAGTAAATTGGCTGCAGAAACTGCCGCCAAACTAAGCTCTTCTGTTGGTTCCAAAGAAATTTGCCTGATTCTCGTCTCTCTTATACCAATGTATAAATATAGTTAAAACTAAAAAAGCTGTACAGGGGGATGAGCTATAAATAGGGCCCAATATGTCGACAATTTCTGCAGCAGTTAAATTCTTTTCAATTCTGAAGTAACATAATTATTGCTGGAAGATATTGTGAAAATTGACTTTGAAATTGAGCCAGTTTAGAGCCAGGGGGCCTGTGACTGAAAGTTCTAAACAGGACTGATTCCCACTGCAACGAGAAAGGGATTCTTCTGAGTGCCAAGTGAGTCTGTGGAATCAGAGACCTTCAATTAAGGATCGAGGAATATTGCAAAATTATAGTGTTTTGTATGCCTGGTCTTTTCTTAACTTCGTACTTCCTAGCATGCTTGGCTAGGGGAAAGAGAGAAAGAATGGTGGTGAGAGGGACCCACCTCCAGTGCTGTCCCATGAGCCCGCGGCATCCTAACTGAAGCTCCTATGTTTCCAACAGATCAAAATGATATGATGAAAGAAGTTAGAAGATAGAGCTTTGCAAACACATTGTGCATGGCAAACAGCTTTGGCTGTTTATTTTCTCACACAAACATTTCCCCGTTACGCTGTTATTTTACTGTATGTTTTTATTACTTTGCTTTCTTCCACCCCTTTACTATGGTAAAAAGGAGCTCCTGTCAATCCGTTCGTCCAATCCCCCTTTCCAATCCCTCTTCAGGGATCCCCTCTCATGAGAGTTTTCTCAAACAGGAATTGGGCTTCCTTCTTTGACTAGGAGCCATAGAGTCCTAGGGAAAGGGTTTCTATTTGAGATATTTTCTCATTTCCCAACAACAGGGCAGATGGATGCCCATTTTAGATTTCAGAGAATTGAATATCTTCGTACGTTATTTGAGATTCCGGATGACAACTCTGGTCTCTATAATCCCCTTCCTCAATGACGATGACTGGTTTGCAGCTTTCAGTTTGAAGGATACCTCTTTTCATATAGACATCCACCTAGCCTACAGGACATTTCTGTGCTTTACAGTGAGCCTAGAACATTACCAATACAGAGTCCTTCTTTTCGGCTTACTCAGTGGTCCCAGGAGTGTTCATGAAGGCGCTTGCCATGGTAGCAGCGCACTGTCATCATCAGGGCAGACTTGATGTTACTTTACCTCAACAATTGGCTGCTTATGGGTCATTCATCCCAGGAAATCCAGTCATTGGCACACTCCCTCCTAAGAGTCCTACAATCCTTAGGACTTTGAGTAAACTTAGAAAAGTCCACTTTAATCCCAACACAGGTTATAGAATTTGGTGGAGCGAAGCTGGAGTGGACAACCGCCAAAGCCAGTTTACCTCAAGATAGGTTCCTTGTGTTAAGGAACGTAATTGTCTGACTCCAAATAAGCCCAGAGGACAACCTGTTCCTGCCTAGTTCTTCTAGGCCTCCTGGCTGCCTGCACATATGTAGAACCCTTCTCAAGGCTCCACCATAGTTGCCTCTAAGCTTGGCTTCATACAGTCTATTGATAGCTTCTTGATACCCTATAATCATGAGATTTCTAAAAGGCTTTATTCAGAACCTTCCCTCCTGTGTCAGCACCAACTCCTAGTTAGGATTTCAACCTGGTGTTGGCAGCACTTACGAATTTGCCACTTGAACCCTTGGCTTCCTGCTCACTTCTCCATCTAACCATGATGGCCTTCCTTAAAGCAGTCATTTCCACTTGGAGAGTAGGGAAATTTGCAGCTCTTACGGCATATCTCATAAGGACAAAGTAACCCTAAAGTTATTTCCCAAGTTCATCACAAAGGTTCCCTCTGAATTCCACCTGAATCAGACTGTTCATGTGCTAGTGTTCTATCAGGAACCTCACGTTTCCAGAGTGGACAGGAAGCTACATTCCCTGGTCATTCATGGAACTCTGACTTTCTACCTGTAGAGGACTAAGCCCTCCAGAAAATCCCTGAGATTGTTCATCTCATTCACTGAGCAGATGAAAAGGAAGCAATTTAATCTCAAATACTTTTCAAATGGATCTTGTATCCAACTATGAACAGATGGAAGACTCTTCTCCTCAGCGTTTAAGGACCCACTCTACTAGAGCACACACTGTCTCAGTATTTTGTCACCAAAGTATGCCTCTAGAGGAAATCTATAGAGTGGCAACATGGAGCTCATTGCACACCTTTACCAGACACTATGCCTTGAACCGGGCTTCTTTACTTGATGCATACTTTGGCACCACAGTGCTTCAATCTATGGTTCAGCATGGGTCCTTGCATCCCCTTCCTCATCAGTGAGTACTGCTTGTGAGTCATTGACGGTGAATACCCATAGGAACTGGCACTCAAAGAAGAGAGTACAGTTACTTACCTTACAGTAACTGGGAGTTCTTCAAGATGTCATTCCTAAGGGTATTCACAACCTGCCTTTTTTCCCCCTCTGCTTGGATCCTCCCTTTATTCAAGGTAGAGTAGGAACTGAATATCCGGTTGGTCTGTGCTAACCCTTATGCCCTCAGTTCAGAGCTCAAGAAGGCAAAGGATGCAGGCATAGATTAACGGGCATTGCTAATAAAGAATCTTCCAGTCTTGGGTGCATGGTGTGCAAGCGCACCTATAGTGACCACACGTCTTGAAGAACTCTCGTTATTAAAAGGTAAGTAACCCTCCTTTCTAGCCTGAGTACTTGAGTATGTCTGGGTGTACATTTTCCCTATCGTTAAATTTGTACTATTTCTCTTGTAGAAGATGCTGTTGCTGTGACACTGCAAACAATGGTCCTTGCTCATGGGTTTGGAGTAACAAAGGAGAAGATGCTCCATGTCCTGCTCAACTGCTGCTGGTTTATCACCTAGGATCCCACTACTGTGGCATCATCAAGCAGCTTTAAAAATAACTTTCCAGTGAAGCAATGACATAATATCCTGTAGGTCCTGCTGTTCAGATATTCCTAAGGAAGACTAGCATAAATTATCCACAGCATGACAGAACACATAACTTCCATGCATTAGGTTGTGTGACAGGGTCAGGCCAGATGGCTACAGGAGAGTGATAGAAGGCAGATATATTAGCCCCAGGTTAAGTAGGTCCCTTTTCCCTGGGTAAGGTAACAGGGAAGGTTCCAGAACAATCAGGAAACTGGAAACAATAATTGGAAACAATTAAGACAGACAGGCTGATTAGAACTCCTGCAGCCAATCAAGAAGCTGCTAGAATCAATTAAGGCAGGCTAATCAGGGTACCTGGGTTTAAAAAGGAGCTCACTTCAGTTTGTGGTGTGCGTGTGAGGAGCTGGGAGCAAGAGGCACTAGGAGCTGGGAGTGAGAAGGCATACTGTTGGAGGACTGAGGAGTACAAGCATTATCAGACACCAGGAGGAAGGTCCTATGGTGAGAATAAAGAAGGTGTTGGGAGGAGGCCATGGGGAAGTAGCCCAGGGAGTTGTAGCTGTCGCACAGCTGTTCCAGGAGGCACTCTAGACAGCTGCATTCCACAGGGCCCTGGGCTGGAACGCAGAGTAGAGGGTGGGCCCGGGTTCCCCCCAAATCCTCCCAACTCCTGGTCAGACACAGGAGGAGTTGACCTGGGCTGTGG